CTGATTTGCCTACAAATGTCAGGTGGTCATAATAATCTGACTACTCAGTGTATACCAGAAAGAGCTCAGCTCTTTCAATTCGCATTACAAATAACATGGAAACTAGTTCTTGTGGAGAATGATTGCTAAGAAATAAAATATATCAACTAATTCTCCTGTGCAGAACTTTGAAGCTGTTAACATAAGTGCATTGTGGACATAAGGATAAATTTCTTATTGAGATGCTTCTTGGTTGTCTTATGCATGTGACAGTTGAATAACTAGCAGAACGACCAGATTTGATGAGACCATGAATTGTTTTATGGTTAAGTGTTTTCGTTCTTCGTTTTTTTTCTTTTTCAACTTTATTGAGATATAATTGACATGTAACATTGTGTAAGTTTAAGGTCTATAATGTGTTGATTTGATACACTTATATGTTGCAAATGATTACCACTGTAGTGTTATGTTAGGTAACACCTCCATTACATGACATAATTACCGTTGCTTTTTTGTGGTGAGAACATTTAAGATTTAGACTCTTAGCAACTTTCAAGTACTTAATCCAGTATTGTTAACTATAATTACTACATCAGATTCCCAGAACTTTCTCGTAATTGGAAGCTTGTCTCCTTTGACCAACATCTCCCCATTTTTCCCATCCTCAACCCCTGGCAATCACAGTTGACTCTGTTTTTATGTATTCAGCTCACAGTTGACTCTGTATGTCAGGGTTTATTTCTGGACTCTTGATTCTCTTCCATTGATTTCTATTCCGGTGATAAGTGTCAATCTTCCCTAGTTGAACAAACTCCCAGGGAAGGGATTTATGACAATTGAGTTTCTTTTGGAGGATCTGTCTTTAGGCAGATAAGGGGAATCACAAAAAGCTGCTCTCGGCATCTGCTGTTTCAAGTGCCTTCAGCTCAAAATAATTCTTATGGCAAAGAGGTATATTTTAGAAAGGTATATGTTCTGATACCCTTCACTTATATCCTGATTCTTTACAAATCAATAATAAAATTTAATGGTTAACCTGAAGGTCAATTAACCAGAACCTCTTTTCCCCATATTTTATCTGTATGGTAATATACTAAGCACTAGGCCCACTCATTTGTATCTTATAATTTAAAATGTCTTAGTTTTCATACTTATTAAACTTATGTTGTCCAGGTACAAAGTTCCCTTAGTTTATACTATATTTCCTGAAGCTTGCCCTATTTTTCAGAAATTGGTGATTGTCTGGAGTACAACTATAAAACTAGTTTTGAAAAACAGCAGATATCTTTATACAAATTCCTATTAGATGCCAAATACTTTACGAAAGATGTATAATTCCTGTTATGATAATTCAGTAGGTTTTCATGAAGGTCTTAACTTGAATTGTTAACACCCTTAAGAATACCTTTTGAGCTGATGCTTCAGCCCTCACTGAGAAAGAAGCTGTGCTAATGTGACCTTGATGAGGCTGCATTGATTATCTGAGATAAGGAAAATTCATGACCACTTCATTTAGTGCTTATAGGAAGCTTTATTATCATCAATATTCCTTAACTTAATAATTTTTAAAATATATAGCCTCTTACTGTTTATAACTTCATGTTCCCAGTTCCTATGAAAGGATAAAAGGAATTTTACTGGAGTTCCTTTATTTTAAATCAGAAAGTCAGGGCTCTTTAATAATGAAGACATTTTTAGCTTCATTATATAAATGAATTTCTTTATGCTGTATAATGCCACTGTTTAATGATCACTGAAAAATTTGATGGTACTGCATTAATATAGTATATAACAAGATGTCCAGTCTATATAACTAACTTTTAATTTAATGTTCCAGTTATTTTAAGGGAAAAGGAATGGCTGTCAGTGAAATAGAAGAGATTAATTTGTTCAGAGAAGCTTCTTTTATAAATCACTTTTTTCTTTTGTTTGCCTTTTATAATTCTACAAATTTTTTATAAAGAAATTTCACATACTTTGTATGGAAGAAATGAAAGCATTACTCTCAATTATTTATGTACTACTTTTGTAGGCAACACAGGGATGGACACACACTCATCTATCCCTATATTATGTATGTCAGTTGCCATGACATGGCTTATTATAACACAGATAGCCATGGATGCAGTTGTATTCCCTGTGTAGGAAAACCTGTTCAATATTGTTTGCCCAATATACTAATATTTTGCATATTTGTTATTGTGTTTCTTTTTATTTCTATGTACTCTGCCTCATGCTTAAAATGATTCAAGGCAACTTTGTGATCATGTTAAACCAGGATTAAGGGGGGAGGCTTATGTTATATCTATTTTAAAGAATTCAGTATTTGAACTTTTTGAAAGCTGACGGAGTACAATTTTTAAATAGTAAAGAAAATGTGGCATAATTAAGAAGATACTTAATTGAGGGTCTAGAACAGCTGTGGGCAAACTACGGCCCGTGGGCCGGATTTGAAATGAATAAAACTATTGAAAAAAAAGACCGTACCCTTTTATGTAATGATGTTTACTTTGAATTTATATTAGTTCACACAAACATTCCATCCATGCTTTTGTTCCGGCCCTCCGGTCCAGTTTAAGAACCCATTGTGGCCCTCGAGTCAAAAAGTTTGCCCACGGCTGGTCTAGAAGGTAGATTTTATATTTCAGTGCCTTACTGATTTGCTGTGTGATCCCCAGTGTGCCACTTTGTTTCTCTGGTTATTTGCTAATTTATGAAGTGATCCCTCAGGTTTTTAAATGATAATGTGAACAGTTAGAAAGGAACTCACATTCTTGAGAAGAAAAGGCTGCAGGGAATATAGATAGGTACATGAGTTGAGAGAAGGAAAGACTGTAGAAATAGGTTCACTAGCAGGGTCTTATGTACACAAGGTGCAGACCAACCCATGTACCTAGGGGATTGTGTGAGGGGTGAATGGGGCTCAGTTCCAGCTCAGCCTCTGGGAGCAGGAGTGTTGGTGGGGTTTGTTTGTTTGTTTTTTGGTAATTAGTTTACCCAGAGGGGATGTCTTTTTAAAATTTGCACAAAGAAGTCTTAATTGCTATTGCTGCCACATTCACCAAGTTTAGGTTTGTATCTCAGGCACCAACACTGATCATTTGGTAGTGACCGAATCTCTGCATCTTGTAAGACATCTCTGGGCAGTGGAGGGAGGAATGTGGCAGGTGTTTTTTGACTCTGAGTATTGAACTTTAATGGTTAGAATTTATATGTAAATATTTAGTTATTTTTTAGTGTTTGAAGGTGCAGGCTCAGGAATCAGACTGAGTAGAAATTTCGTTTTTACTTAACAGTTTTGTGACTTTGGGCAACTTCCTTAATTCCTCTAAGCCCCAGTTCCTTATTTAGAAAATGGAGATAATGATAGTTCTTGCCTCCTGGGATTGTTGTAAGAATGAAATGGGGGAAAAAGTGTTTAAAGCACAAGCATAGCACAAGTACTCAGTTAATGTTAGCTTTCATTGTAATGATTGTTGTTTATCATACCACATGCATATCTCATAGTGTGTCATATCCTAGTGTCTACTGTATGGAAGAAAAAAATCTTTTTCCTCTGTTTTAGATTTTCTGGGTGAGACTCTGCAAATTAGACTGGCCAAAGACAGGTTAACAAGAGAAAACAAGCAGAAGTTTTTAACATATGTGTTGCACTTGTATACATGGGAGCCCCCAATGATGAGTAACCCAAAGGGATGGTTAGAATTTGGGTTTATATGCCATCGCAGGCTAATGAAAGAAAAGGGACTTGGGGCTTCTGGGTGGAGAAGACAAGTTAGGGGAGGGTGACCAGGAAAGGTATGGTAAACAAGGGTTGTATAGTAAGGCTCGTCACAGAGATTGAAATTAGTGCCTCTCCATTGGTAAGAGTTGTTGAGTCCTCTTCTTCCTTTTACATGATAGGCAAACATCTTTGCAAATGGAAATTTCCTTCATAAATACTTACAAAATGAAAACTTGTGCCCTGCTTTTGGAGTTTTCCTGCATCTGCTGGTTCTCAATGGCCTTTAGCTCAAAATAATCCATATGCTGTAGAGGCGTATTTTGAGGTGGCATAGCCTGGTCCCCTTCACTGCCCACTCAGTCTCTATTATCCATTGAATTCTTTTCATTTGCATTGCCACCTTTCTCTTGGATAATTACAATAGCCTGCTCTTCTGTCCCTCCATTCCCAGTTGAGAGCTATCATAATAGGTGGCCCTGCGGGGGTATATAATACGGCTACCAGTTGAAATTAAGGGGGACAAGAGTGGGGTTGATTGCTACAGAATAGAAAACATTGGGAACATCCTTTGTAGAGTAATTGGTAGGGCATCTATAAGGATTGTTTTGTGAATTAGAATTAGAATTGAGTTCGTTTACTCTAACTTCAGAATTTTCTAAAATAATATTCTACAACCAGAATTGGAGTCTAGAAGGTAAATGGAGCCTGTCCAGGGTTGAAAATGTTTGTATGTGGAACACAAAGAGGATCAGGATTCTAGGAGGGTGAGATTGAAACTGCTGACCATGAGTTCTAGGATGTGAAGCTAGGCACTTGAACCTACCAGATGAGAGGGTAAACTGAGAACACGGAGAGTTAGAAACAAAGTGAGGATAAAGAATAGGTTTATTGAAGAAGGGAGAATAGGTAAATTGGGCTACATTCAACATAGAAAACAGTGAAAAGGAATGAACTTGAGCTAATGCTAAGCAAGGGAAGCAAGTTGCAGAGGAATATCATTTATGTGAGATTTTTTAAGACGTGTAAACAGTTCTGTTTTTTCTCCCCCATGCTTTACCATACTTGAAGCCTCTTTATCAGTATTTCAGGCAAAATTCCCACCAGCTTGTTTCTCTGGTCTCCCAAAGGGCATATGAAAAAATGTTACCCTGTTAGATGCAACAAATGACCCACTAGTGATGATGAGACATAGATCTACTAAATTCGATACAGAAAAGGATAAAAAAGCAGATGAATTTAGGAAAAAATAATGCAGGATAAACAGTCTTATACCTAAACAGCACTAAATCCTACTAAGGCAACATTTGATAACTGATGTTCATGATTAAGACGTGCCGACAAAAATTGATTAGTATATTGTTTTTATAAAGCAAGGAGAATATGTGATTATTTTAAGATTTTCATGAAAATGGTTATGATATAAAAAATAACTTTTGGAAACTAAAAGGGGTAAACTTTATGTATGTGGGAAATTCCCTTACATGGAACACTTCAAGCTTGTTTAAATAAAGAATTACTATAGTGTGAAACAGAAGATGGTAGCTTGAGGGAGAGAAATGGCAATATATAATTGTTGCTTGAGATATATTAATATACTTTTTTGCGTTTTTTTTGACAGATTGTTTAACGAACAAAAGTGAAGAATTATCAATTAGCACGTTAAACTTCCTCAATCAATTTAATAACACCTTGACCTGCTTTGAGCATAACCTTCAGGTATTTTATATCTGATACTTGAAATTAAAATGAATAAAAAATAATTCCAACTCTTATGGCATTAATCTATACACACAATGTAGAGAAGTTAGCGGACCTGGATGTCTGCTGAATTTTTCCATTACTAGCCCTTAGGCAAATCACAGAAATTTTAGTTTTCTTTTTTGTACCTCAGGGATAGCAAGATCTACCCAGCCTACCTTCAAGTATTTTGTAGTGAGGACCCAGTGAGATACTGAACATGAACACATTAACTGAGACGTGTGATTGTTTAACTTACTAGTAAACGTAATGTTCTGTCGGACATTAATTTACTTTGCCTTTGTGCAGTATGGTATTTTGCAATGCATATGATTCTGTGTGTTTATAGGAAGCTTATTCTTTGCGTCAGTATTCACTTACATATATTTTACCTACTTAAAAAGGCACTGTTTAGTAGGTAACTTCGACTATTGAATTAATAATACAAAAGGTAGCCTTCAAGAAACCTACTCTAGTGGTTTTCAGTTTGTCCAACTCTGATCTCTGAATGTTGGTATTGGAACCTCCTTGGTGGTGGTGAGGATGAGATTGGAACTCTGATAAAATTATAGTTTTGAAACTCGCTTAACAAGTAAATAATCCCACAAGTAGATGTGAACATATTTAGGCTATAGATATGTATGATTTCCTCATGATAATACAGAATTATGAATTTTCCTGACAATAGTAAAAACTGTTCTGAAGGATATTAGTAGATAGCCTTTGTACTAATAAGGTTGGGAAATGCTTTACTACAGGACTTCACAATTATAGTGGAGTAATGTGTGTTGTAAAACTCTAAGTTGTAATTTTTGTATATTAAACCTATTTACCCAGAAACTCTTTACTTTAAGAGATTAGTATTCTGATGAATGCATTTTAGAGAAATTAGCATTTCTCCTGGAATGTTAGTTGCAAATATTTTTCCTAGTTTGTTTTTTGTCTTTTTATTGTGCCTTTCTTTTTGTTATGAATACATTTTAATTTTTATGTTAGATTTATAAAAATATTTAATGGTTTGCAGATTTTGTGTCATACCAGAAGGCCTTTTCCCACTTTGAGATTATTTTTTAAAATTCTCTTATGATTTCTTTTAGTATCTTTGTGGTTTTTATTGCTATGTTAAAATATATGTGCATTTAAAATTTTTTATTTTTATTTTATGTTTTTATTTTTTTTTATTAAGGTATTACAAATGTGTCCTCATCCCCCCTATTAACCCCCAACCTCCCCCCCCTCTCCTCCTCACACACTCATGCTCCCATCCCCTTGTTGTCCATGTCCATTGGTTTGGCTTATATGCGTGTATACAAGTTAAAATTTTAATATAAATGCCTAAATTACACTCTCCCATCAAGGGTCTGTGCTCAATTTTCAATTGAACGGTTTTAGCTAAATGCACAGTTGTTCTGTGAAAAAGAGGCAATGGGCCATTTCTTGTGACAGAACTAGAGTCTGAGTTTCTCTGTCAAATAGATGGTGAGGCTAACGTGGGGGCTATATCATGTTAAATCCTCTTATTATTCCTTTCTCTTTCATTCTGATATTCAGTTAACATAGCATTTCTCCAGACCACGAGGGGAAGAATAAAGTGAACTGACTCTTTAGAAAACAGCATTAGTGCTCAGTAAAAAAGACTGAGATTCACTAACATACTATCTTATATGTTATATCCATTACCTTCATTTTAGGTTAAAGAATTCTTTGGTGTTAGTCCCTTTTTGTTGAGTAGAAAGGCCTGGATTACAAACCTTGGGGTAAGAGGATCATGTGGGATGCAGTTTTACTTTTCCTTTCCCATTAATAAAGTCCTGTCTGTTGAAGTCAACATAGGCAAGCTCATATTTGATTTATGTGGTGAAAGTAGGATACATAAGAGCAAATATGTAAAATGGTAAGATAATTTAGGAAATTTTTGTTGTCCTCAGTTAACAGAGGGTAGTGCAGTAGTTTTCAGAATTTAGAGGTAACTGGAAAGTGCCAAAATATGTTGCTATGTGCTTTACATGCCAGGTTTCTAATCCTTGGGACCTATCATACAGGTAGTGTAGTCCTCCATTGTGGATGATAAAACCGAGGCTCAGAGTGACTTAGCGACCTGCCCAACATCATAGCTCAGCACTTACCATACTCTGTTATTTCCTGTTTTCTAGGAGGGCAAATAGCTTACATTAAAGAGATGTAATGTTTATTGTATCTATTATATGTGCCTTTGACATTTTAGGAGAGCATACACAGTCTTCTGCAGTTAAGAAATTATTCAGAAGTATGCAAAAACTGTCACAATGCGTACAAAACTCTGAGTAGTATGTACAGTGAAATGCAAAAAAGGAATGAACATGAGAATAAGGCTGAACCTGGAACACATTTATGCATTGATGTGGAAGATGCAGTAAGTACTTTGTTTCTAATAAGATACATATTTCACAGTGTTGTTGAATATGCCTTCAGTATTATTACACTTTTCGGAGGTATATTGGAATCTTCATAGTTTGTCTTCAACCAGAAATAACTAATTATAAAGTAGTAAAGTTTTAGAATATCCTTATCTGTCAAACTAAAATGGAAATCAATCAGGTCTTCATAACTGAGTTGATACTTTGGTACATTTTGATTTTTAAGTTTGATAATTTGTATCATTTTCTGAGTTGTGTGGGCTTTGTTATGTGTTTACATTTCAGTTTCTTATTCATGTGTTGCTGATTCAAGAAGTTTTGCTGTCATGTGTTTCTGAAGCCATTCCTCAATTACTTCCTATTCCATTGCTTTATTTCTTTATATCTATTACTATCTGAAAATTTTCTTTGTTTACTTATTTACAGTCTCTCTTCCCCCACTAAAGTATAAGCCACACGAGGATAAAACGACCTCATGCCCCTTTTTGTTTTCTGTTTAGTATTTAGAACAGGGTCTGGCATATAACAGGCCCTTAGTAATATGTATCGATGGAATGAATGGTCAACAAAAAAGCTTTTTCTCCATTGTATAGCCTGCCTTTTCATGGGGCACCACGAGATGGCGATCATGCCTTTTTATGGGAATATGATAAACTTAATGGTTGAGAATGATGAATATGAATTATCATAGCAGCCCAGAGTTAACTATAGTGGATCAATAATATTCAGGATGGCAAAAAGCATTTCAAATAGATGCACCCTGGGGATTTTTGTGGGTTTTTTTTTTTTTTTACTGCTTTATTACCAATGTCTAGAATAGTACCTGATTTCTTTCCTTTTTTAAATATATATTTTTATTGATTTCAGAGAGGAAGGGAGAAGGAAAGAGAGATAGAAACATCAGTGATGAGAGAGATTCATTGATTGCTGCCTCCTGCGCGCTCCCTACTGGGGATCGAGCCTGCAACCCAGGCATGTGCCCTTGACCAAAATCGAACCCAGGACCCTTCAGTCCCATAGGCCAATGGTCTATCCACTGAGCAAAACTGGCTAGGGCAGTACCTGGTTTCTTGTAGACTCTCAACAAGTAATAAATATATGTTTTTAAAACAATAGTCTATTTCATTGTTTTTAAAATAAAGAAGAAAAATGAATATTGGTTCTGTGACATAAATGGAATTACACACGAAATCAACATGCCCACCTATTTTAGAACATCCTTCTTGCAATAAGCAAAACTTACAGTAAACATACAGTGTATTATTTGTAAACTGTACCTCAAGTAAACAAAATCCAGGGAAGAACAGTTTTCTATATTAAATTTGATAATTTCCTTGTATTATCAGACTGACAGAAATCAAGAGCTCAGTGAAAGTAAGATATTGCTGCCCTTAACTTGTATCTATTGTATGCTAATAAGTAAGATACTAATATTGTCTAAGAAAAGTTTCCATGACTCATTGGGTATTATGTACTTAAATATATTTGCCATGAGTATGGACCTTTCATATATCTCAGATAAAATATTAGGCATTTCATAAACAGAGAAGCCCTATAAAGTTGATATTTTTATTTTCACCTAAAAATATTGCAACTAGATTAGAGATTACATATATAACAGGAAAAAAAATTTTGTGAGTCTCTCCCCACTCCATTCTCCACATTTTATTGAGGTATAATTGACAAAATTATAATATAATTAAAGTGTATAACGTGATGATTTGACATGTATACACTATGAAAGGATTCCCACAGTCGAGTTAATTTATACATCCATCACATCATATAGTTACCCTTTTAAATCTTTTTTAATGGATGAAGCATGGTCTTACTATATTCTTACTGACACAAGTTCTCTGTGTCAACTCTGTGAAAGGTCAACATTATTTGGACATTAGGACATTATTTTGGACATAAAGGTTAACATTAGGTATTTAGAATATGAAATTTTTGTGTGGATATAAATTTATACAATGACTAATTGTGAGCCACCTTATTTCCTGGCAAAAGATATTGTACTCAATGATCCATAGATTTATTTTACCATGTATATTTAGTCTAAATTCTAAGTGTTTGTTTAGTTATTAACAAAATAATTGTATGGAATTGAAGACAAACTAAATATAAAATAGAGCAATATTATTTGTTATTTTTCCAGATGAACATTACTCGAAAACTTTGGAGTCGAACTTTCAATTGTTCGGTCCCTTGCAGTGATACTGTGCCTGTAATCGCTGTTTCTGTGTTCATCCTTTTCCTACCTGTGGTCTTCTACCTTAGTAGCTTTCTTCACTCAGAACAAAAGAAACGAAAACTCATTCTACGTAAGTGTCTTTTTATAATTGTTCATTTACTTAGTTAAAAAACTGTATTTTAAAAATTTAGGTCTGGCCTGGCCAGCATGGCTCAGTGGTTGAGCATTTGACCTATGAACCAAGTGGTCCCGGCTTGATTCCCAATCAGGACACACGCCCAGGTTGTGTGTTTGATCCCCAGTAGGGGGCATGCAGGAGGCAGCCAATAAATTATTCTCTCTAATCGTTGATGTTTCTCTCTCTCCCTGTCCTTTCCTCTCTGAAATCAATAAAAATATATTTAAAAAAAAATAAAAATTTAGGCCTGCTTTAAAGATGATGTATACTCTGAGAACTCAAAGTTTATTAGCCTTAGACAATTCTTTACTTCTAATTTCACAATTATGGTTACTAATGAGATGTATAAGAAATTTATAAGTGCAGATCATCAAAAGTCAACATACAGTATCTTTCAGATGCTTTAACTGAAAAAGCTAGATTCCCTGGAATAGGTTGGCAACAACGGAGAAATAAGCAACAAAGATGTTGAAGATCTGAAATGGCCACAGTGGGGAGATAGAGACAGCTCTTAGGCCCACTGGAGCCATTGCAGACGGACCTGAAGTGCAGCTGGCAAGGATAAACGATAGCTTACACACAGTTTATTTCTGAACAAATTGAAATTGCAGTTGCAAGAACATTACTTGACATATAGCATGTGCTCGATACAAATTAATACCTTTCCTTTGTTCCCATCAGATAGGGCAGAGCAGAAAAAGCACTAACTAGAAGATCCCATTTAGCTGAAGGAAAATGCCTCTAAGTCTCTTGAGATGCTTGTTTATTTTCAGAATGAAAGTAAGAGCTTCTCTTTTAGTAATTTTAGTTTATAAAAAGAAAATGTTTTTTGGAGGAAAAAGTTAGGCCTTCCCCCCCCCCCCGACACACCCCCATACACTATTCTACCACCCCCTGTTCCCCCTTTCCCTCTGGTAATCGCCATACTATTGTCTGTGCCTATGAACTGAAGTATTTTTTTTAATCCTCACCCGAGGACATTTTTTCCTATTAATTTTTTGAGAGAGTGGAATGGAGGGAGGGAAGGAGGAAGGGTGGGAGGAAAGGAGGAGAGAGAGAGAGAGAGAGAGAGAGAGAGAGAGAGAGAGAGAGAGAGAGAGAGAGAGAGAGAGAGAAAGAGAGAAAGAGAGAGAGAGAAAGCATGGAGGTGAGAGACATCAATTGGTTGCCTCCCGCAGGTGCCCCCACTAGGGCTGGGGATCGAACCTGCAACCGAGGTACATGCCCTTGACTGAAAATTTAACCCTCGCCCCTTTGGGCTGACTCTCTCAACTACTGAGCCAAACCGGCCACGGCTGAACTGGATTCTTTTAAGAGAAATTTATATTTGGATTTCTAACTTAGACTTTTGAATATGTAATTTTATTATACGTTATAGCACTTCCATTTGTGAGTACTTTCACCTATATTACATATTTAAGATTGTGATGTTCAATATGATATAACTTACGTCTTTTTTACTTGGTACTGCTTCTAACAAAGTTATGTTTTTTGAGTTTGATAGAAAAAAATAGACTTAGGTTTTAATTCTTAGAAGATTGAACCTATTCTGATTCAAATATAGCATTAATAGATGAGTACTATATTTTTTAAAAAATACTATAGTTTACATTAAAATAATGAATAATCATATTTAGAGAATTAAGTTTAAGTTAATACTTTTGATTTATATAGCCAAACGTCTCAAGTCCAGTACCAGCTTTGCAAACTTTCAAGAAAATTCAAACTGAAACCTACAAATGGAGAATTAACATCATCTCCCATGGATGAATGGTGAAAGATACAGCTTGGTCCAAAAGAAGATAAAGTTCTTAAGAAATTTAAGGACTTCTGATTTATTTTAAAAATAAGAATTTTTGGTTTTTCTTTCCTTTTCCACCCCCTTTTAAAGGTTTTGGGTATTTTTAATTTACAGGCATAGCAATGTTGTCTATTTTAAAGTCTATTTATTATAACAAAATATGCAAGGACAATCTTTGTTTTATTTTGTAGGCATATTACTATTTGTGACATCTGATATCTTATTAACAATAAGTTAATAAGTTTTTGAAAACCGACATTTAAAAATTAATCAGTTATAGCAAAGACTTTGAAAAAGAAATATACTTGCCAAAAAGTAGCAGATCCAAAGATTAATTTACATTACCATGGCAGTATTATTGTTACTTATATATTAAATATGTCATGTTATAAATAATAAGTAATTCAGTCTCTAGTTTTCTTAAAGTCATTTTTGAAACCACTAATTATAGACCTCCCTAACAATTTTTAAAAGTGGAAAGACCCATTACATTTATCTTTGTAAAAAGATTTATGGTAACTGATTTCTTACTTAACTTTTATAAATACTATTTTACACCTTATTTTTGCCTTTATTTCATAAGTAATTTGAAATCATTGGACTGCTTTATTATATTCAGGGCAAGATGGATTCTTTTTATACCAGGGATTTTGCATTGTGAATTACATTAAGTTGTTTGGCAATTTATAATTTATTACTACTTTAAGTCAAATGTAGCATTATCACACTGTATTTAAATTGTGACTTTTTAATGGAGATTTTCTTAGGATATTTGGGGATTTTTGGAAGGGAGATACAGGAGGAGTAAAAAGAAGTGTAAGATTCAGACAATAGACAGGGACCTGTGGGGATGCTCACAATAGGACCGCTAAATGGTTTATACTAGGGGCATGAGTCAGAATGAGCTGATACAGAAAGCAGTTAAGATGATGCTTATTTTTTTCTAAATTATTTAAATCAGATAAAAGTGATATGATTGATATGAAGTCAAATACTTCACTCTCAGAAAACATTCTATTTGGAATGCTTCTGTCTTTTTTAAAAAGCTTCATTTCTGAGTTGTTTACAATTTTTCCCCTCAGGTTTTTAGTGTTAGGTATTTCATTTGTTAATTCCTACTTTCTTGGTGGAAAAAGGCTTTGTATTAAAATGAGTTTGGTTAAATGTTACAAGAATTTGAATATCTTTGTGTACTGTAAAATACTCTATAAGAGAGACAAGAAGGTGTTTTTGTTTTTAAATGTTTACTGTCTAGGCAGAGGGAAAGAAAAGGCTCATTCTTGGATATGTAACATATCCACAAGCTGTAACTGTCTAGTCTGCTGTGATCCATTAAAAATGTGCTGGGTTTGTTCTGTTGTTACTGTTCCCGCTGCTGATACTAATAGCACTATTATGATTTGAAGCATATAGTTGAGGGCCATTGAAAGTAATCTTTCATTAATGCAGATAAACCAGTTTACATGTGCAAAGGTACAGAATGGCATATTCGATTCTATAAGTAGTGACTTGGAGCACTTTTGAATATTATGTATTTCTAAAAACCATCGCTTTTGGAAATGTTTGCTAATAAGCACTTTAAAAAAGAAAAGGCAGCCTTTACTATTTTCCTGGTTGAGTCATTGCTCTTTAGAAGTTGCATCAGAAAGAGATGTGTTAAGTACTATACTAAAGTGTGTAAATATTTCATTTTTTAGTCATATTGAAAAATTCTTTGCATAGTTCTGAATTCTTAGACACATAGCATTTGTGTGTACAAGAACATCTTTAGTTTTTTTGACACTTTGAAATAAACAAAGTAGCTTAAGGAAATTGCAGTGCCATATTTGATTTTTTTAAATTCCTTTTTAAAATTTGAGCTGTAATTAAACATCACATTTCAGTTTTTCAGGTATTGAGTTTAAATATCTACTTTAAAGTACCATCTATCTTATAATTTTGCTGCAAATAAAAATGTACTTTTGGATTTTGTGTTGTTGTTGGATTTGAGAAGTAAGAATAGCGTCCGCTACCTTAAAGTGTAACTCTAAATCAATAAATAACACCAGGGCATAGTTGGTAAATATTACTTCCAATGGGACCAGTATTTTGATTGTTTTAAAAAATACCTTTTTATTGATTTTAGAGAGAGAGGAAGGGAGAGGGAGAGACAGAGAGAGAGAAACATTAATGAGAGAAACATCAAAATGAATTGGCTGCCTCCTGCACCCCCCTTGCTGGGGATTGAGGCTGAAACCCAGGCATGTGCCTTGACTGGGAGAACTGGGACCTCTTGGTACATGAAAAGATGCTCAACCATTGAGCCACACTGGCCAGGCGGAACCAGTATTTTGTAATGTTTTATGGATGAACTCTACTTTTTACTGCAATACCTACACTAATAAAAGAGAAACATGCAAATTGGTGTCACTCTGCTACACCCACCAGCCGATCAGGATGAGTATGCAAAATAACCCAACAAAGATGGAGGTTAATTTGCATATGCAGGTGCAGAGCGAATACTGAAGGCCCTGGCCCAAGTGAAGACTGCAGACTGAAGAAGATGACTGAAGACTGAAGAGGCTTGGCTTCTCCGCTGCGGCCAGAGCGAAGGCCTGGGTCCCGGGTGCCGGGAAATCTGGTGCCGGCAGACAGGGGTGGGAAGGCCTATTGCACAAATCTCTTCGTGCAGCGGGCCTCTAGTACTCCTTATAAAATGAAATGTTTTCCTGGAACAGCATTGAAGTTGGGTTGCATTTCTGACCCAACTACAGGTAAATAATAGGCATCACCAGCAATGAATTGTGAATGCAAAAATATAGTAGTAACCTGTGTAGCACTTTCTTTCTTTCTTTCTTTATATTTATTTTTTATTTTTTCACATTCCATATTAGTCTGTATTAGTTTCAGGTGTACAACATAGTGGTTAGATGATCATACACTTTACAGAGTGGTCCCCTGATATTTCAAGTACTCCCCCCGCCCCGGCCTGTACATAGCTATTACAATATTATTTTACCCCCATTAACCTCTCCCCAGCCACTCCCACCCCCAGCACATGCCCTCACCCCTCTAGTGTCTGTGTCCATTGGTAGTGCTTATATGCATGCATACAAGTCCTTTGCTTGATATCTTACCCCCACCCCCACCTGCCTTCCCTCTGAGGTTTGAC